AAAGAGGAAGAAAAAAATCTGACGTGGATGAAAAAAAAAAAGAATTATTACTTTTAAATTAAATAAAAATGCCAACTCAAAAAAAAATGGCCAACTATACTTTTTTTTTTCCATGTCATTGATTAAGAAAAAAAAAATTGATTTGCTGGTATTTTAACGTGCCATCTGTCATTTAACTGACGGAAGGACCATTTTGGTACCAAAAATAAAAGTTTAAGGATAATTTTGGTACTTTTTAAAGGTGAGGGACAATTTTGGTACCAAAGTGTAAAGTTAAGGGACCAAAATGGTACTTAAACCTTTTTTTAACTATATTTATAATAAAAAGTACATGTGCACTAAGTAAGTCACAGCTTAGAAAAACCAAAATAACGAGCCTCAAATATATGATAGCACCAGAGAAAAGGTTTGAAGAGATGCATTTGGGCTTAGAAACTCCATCAAATTTTCAAACTTCTCAAGTATTGAAGACTGGAAACCCAGATGCAACCAAAAGAACCAAAAAAAAAAAAAAAAGACAAAATCTAATGAGGCTTTCTATATACTTGATTTCCTTCTTGTTGCAGACACAGCCACCTTTCTCTTCGCTTATATATTCTTTTATGCCAATCCTCTTAAGAAATAAATCTTGTTTTTTTTCTTTGCATCTGCGTTTCTAGGCTCGATCCCTCTATTGATAGAGCTTCAAAGTTTAAAAATTAATAGAAGAAAAATACAAACAGCAAACAGAGCTCACCGAAGGAAAATTTACCTAGTAAATATGTAAATAGGGATTCAAACTTTACACTTTTTTTATTTAAAAATGTTAATTTTCAAATTTTTTAAAAAAATAAAGATGTTAACTTTATCAATTTCCAAATAAAAATGTTAACTTTCAATATTTTCTATTTAAGAATGTTAACTTTTTAACTTTTTTTATTTAAGGATTAATTGAATAGTGATGTTTAACATATTTTTTAGGTTAAATACATGAATTGGTCCCTCAACTTTTATTTTTGAATCAATTCATCCTTAAACTTCAAAAAGTACCAAAAACGTTTTTCAACTTCAATTTTTAATTAATAAAATTATTTCCTAATTCATGGAAGAATTAATTAAATTTTATTTAATTTTATTAAATGGTAGGTGAGACTAATTAAATGAGAAAATATATTAATTGTTTTAATTTTTAAATATAAATAAAGTAAAATTAAGAATTAAAGTAGTTTATAAATTATTTTGAAAGAAAAAATTATT